ATGAACCTAAACTGAGACTAAGAAATAAATTATTGGGATTAAAGAAATAAGGAATTTTCTTAAGACAGTCATATACAAAGCTCCCAAGTTTGAATAAAAAAAGGTGAATATACAGGACAGCACTGTAAATTGTATTGCTGGAGACCACTGCCTCCATTCCAGTGTCCCCAAAACATGCACAACCTTGAAGAGCACATTAGCAACTCTGCATTACAGATGTCACTTTTGCTTTCCTTTAATGCATTTAGGGGTCATGGTAGATGAGAATTACTAGACTGATGTTTGTAAATATCTTCCTTCCTGCATGATGTTTACACCTACGTAACAAAGTTTCTATACCATTGCCAACAGGAATAACTACATTGTGAAGAGGTAAAACACAACAGTCCCTTAATAAATGCTTATACAATGAATAAAGGTATTTTAGAACTTAGATATATCTAGTCCAACCACTCAACTTGGCCAGGGCACACTGTTGGAAGATTTAAGAATCAAGGTCCTCAATCTCAGTTCAATGATATTTCACTATTCCAGGCCAATGAGCCATCAACTGAAAGATGAAATTTTCTCCTCTGCCCTTTATTCTCATTCCTAAATACCAGGACTCCAGCACCTTACCTCCATTTATTCAGTCTTTTAGCTTGGAGATTTTTCCAGTAAGACTATCTCAACCAATATATAGCAAACACTTTGCTGTCCATCCCTACTTTTTGGAGGCTCTCTTGAATTTGACTTTCATGGTATAAATCATTCAGCTATTTCCACTTCCTCTCACTGTCCTCTCCTCTCCCTACTGTCCTCTTACTGTGGGTGCTCCCCAAGACTCTATCTTCCATTCTGCTCTTCAATAGACATCCTGTGACTCGTTCCCATAACTTTAGCCCTGACCTCTCTGAGCTCCAGATTCACATCTCCAGGTGTTTCCCGATTATTTTTATGTTCCTATCTCCTCACACTCAATATGTCCAAAAATATATCATCCCTCCTTCCACATATTTACTCAGCTTCCTAAGAATATCATCACTTTTCCACTCATGTAAGTTCAGAACTTTAGTCATCTGACTCCTCCTATACCTTTACCCGGTTCTACTGATTTTTACAAAATCTTTGTGCTCATTTTTTAACTTGTTTTTCTTTTGGTTCCTACAAAAACCACCATAAACTAGGTTTCCATCTGCCTCTCAACCAGTCTCCCCTCCTACGACTCATCTTCTTTCTTAAACATCTACTTCATCATGTTAATTTGTTGTTCAAAAAGTCATTCACTTTTCCTAACAAGGATCTTCTCTAGCCAGGTGGGTCTACTCACTATTTTCCCATTGTACTTTCTTACTCCTCAGCCTGCACACAATAAACCCCACAGCTGGGGTACACATCCTCCTAATCATGACCTGTTCTAATCCTAACTGCCATCAATAGTGGATCAAATCTAGTCTCTTCAATGAAGCTTTCTGCTACTGTTCCTGAATTTGCTATCTATACACCACTATTATTGGTGCTCCATTGCCAATCACTTTAAAGTTATGTGTCGCTTAACAAAGGGAATACATTATGAAAAATGTGGTGTTGGGCGATTTTGCTGTTATGCGAACATCAAAGAGTGTACTTATATAAACCCAGATGGAATAGCTTACTACACAACCAGGCTATATGGTAGTAATTTACGGGACCACTGTGGTATATACAGCCCGTTGTTGACTGAAACGTTGTTATGCAGCACATGACTGTTTATATTAACTCTCTAAATGTACTTGTCTTCCTGGTATGACTGTAGGAACCACATCTTACATGTCTTTCCCGCTTCTGAAACTATCCCAACAACTATATTATATTAAGAAAAAAATGAGGCATTGTAGTCAGGAGAACATGATTAGGAAGTAGAAAATCCTGAGTTTAGATCTTGGCTTTGTTCCTTGCTAGGTGAGCAACCTTGGGAAGGTATTTAACCTCTGCAAGCTTCCATATCTATAAAATAGAGATTATGCTACCTTTTTCATAGGGCTGTTTTGAAGTCCAACAGAATGTGTACGTATGTGTATGCACAAACACAATGTTAACATGGTCTGGTCCATAGTGAGTGCTTTTTAAATAGATGGCAGTTATGATTTTGCACACAATAGGCACTACGCTTTGGTCAATATTTTAAACTGCACAATCTACAGATTCAATGCAATGCAATCCCTATCAAAATTCCAATGGTATTTTTCACAGAAATAGAACAAACAATCCTATAATTTGTACAGAACCACAAAAGACCCCGAATAGCCAAAGGAATCTCGAGAAAGAAGAACAAAGCTGGAGGAATCATGCTCCCTGATTTTAAACTATGTTACAAAACTACAGTAATCAAAACACTATGGTACAGGCACAAAAACAGACATATAGGTCACTGGAACAGAACAGAGAGCTCAGAAATAAACCCACATACATACAGTCAATTAATTTACAACCAAGGAGTCAAGAATATACAATGGGGAAAGGACAGTCTCTTCAATAAAAGATGTTGGGAAAACTGGACAGGTACATGCAAAAGAATGAAACTTGACCACTATCTTAAACCATACACAAAAATTCACTCAAAATGGAGTAAAGACTTGAACATAAGCTCTAAAACTATAAAATTCCTAGAAGAGAACATAGGCAGTAAGCTCCTTGACATTGGTCTTGGAGATGATTTTTTGGATCTGACACCAAAGGTAAAAACCAACAAGTGGGAATACATCAAACTAAAAAGCTTCTGCGCAGCAAAGGAAACCATCAACAAAATGAAAAGGCAACTTTACTGAATGGAAGAAAATATTTCCAAGTCATATATCTGATAAGGGGTTAATACCCAAAACATATAAAGAACTATATAACTCAACAGCAAACAAACTTCCAAAGAAGACACAAAAATGAGGAACAGGTACATGAAAAGATGCTCAACATCACTAATTATCAGAGAAATGCAAATCAAAACCACAATGAGATATCAAGTCACACTTGTTAGAAAGGCTATTATCAAAAAGACAAGAAATTAGTGTTGGCAAGAACGTGGAGAAAAGGGAACCCTCGTGCACTGCTTGTGGGAATGTAAATTGGTGGAGGCATTATGGAAAACAGTATGGAGATTCCTCAAAAAATTAAAAATAGAACTACCATATGATGCAGCAATTCCATTTCTGAGTATTTATCCAAAGAAAACAAAAACATGAACTCAAAAAGATATATGCACCTCCATGTTCATTGTAGCATTATTTACAGTAGCCAGGATATGGAAACAACCTAAGCATCCACCAATGGATAAATGGATAAAGACAATGTGATACACACACACACAATGGGATATTATTCAGCCATAAAAAAGAATGAAATCTCGCCACTTGTGACAACGTAGATGAATCTTGAGGGCATTATGCTAAGTGAAATAAGTCAGATAGAGAGAGACAAATACCATATGATGTCACTTATATATGGAATTAAAAAAAAATTAAGCTCATAAACACAGAGAACAGATTGGTGGTTGCCAGAGGCAGGGGTTTAGGGATGGGAGAAATGGATAAAGTGAGTCAAAACATACAAACTTCCAGTTATAAAATAAATAAGTTATGGGGATGTACCATACAGCGTGGCAACTATAGTTAATAATATTGTATTGCATATTTAAAAGTTGCTAAGAAAGTAAATCTTAAAAGTTCACATCATAAGGAAAAAATTCTGTAAGTATGGTAACAGATGTTAACTAGACTTACTGCAGTGATCATTTCACAATACATACAAATATTGAATCATTATGTTGTACACCTGAAACTAACATAATGTACATCAATTATACTTCAATTTAAAAAATTTCTTTTTTTGGTGAGGAAGATTGGCCCTGAGCTAACATCTGTTGCCAATCTTCCTTTTTTTTTCTTGCTTGAGGAAGATTGTCTCTGAGCTAACATCCGTGCCAATCTCCCTCTATTTTGTATGTGGGATGCCACCACAGCATGGCTTGATGAGTGGTGTGTAGGTCCATGCATGGGATCTGAACCTGAAAACCCCACACTGCCAAAGCAAAATGCACGAACTTAACCACTACACTATGAGGCTGGCCCCAATAAAAAACATTTTTTAAGTAAAAAAATAATCCACCAAAGTCATGCTAAATATCTTAACACAGCATCAAGATTCCATTTCACATGTAGTTTTACACCACCAGTGTAAAAGTACACCAGTACTGTATTTAGTCTAAAAATGCTTTTCTAAGCTACATTTCAGAGGAGTAGAAAAGGCAGCTTTTAACTTCCAAGCTGTGGCTAAGACCCAGTGTATAAAGCTCTGTGCAAGATCAGTTTCATCCACATTCATAACCAATCCAGCAAGATTTTCAGCAATTACCATTTTAATAATGCAGTTAAAGCAGTACTAAAGAATCCTGGAGGAGGCTAGAAAAGTTTCCAGAAAGCCAAGGCCACGGATAAAGGTTTTGTGAGATAGGACTGCAACAGCCTGTCAAAAACTGGAGCTCGATGATTAGGAACCATGGCCAGTCTCTTCCATGAAGAAGGCATGAGTTTTTCTTCAATCAACAAGTCAATTCCCAACTCTGATTAGTGGCTTTAAAAAACACAATGAAAATGTTGCAATCTAGTACCTTAAAAACCAACAACCTGGCCTTTTGTTGGCTGAGGTAACTCTTTTTTTTTCCCTAATGAAACATACAGTCTTTTCTCCTTTGTGCAGCAGGTCACAACTTTCCATAGGTTGTGTCATACCGTATTTAAAAAATCAGACATTACGCCTCCACTAAGGTTCCAGGAACTTTCCACCACGAATATCTATGATCTCGCAGGAGAGGCTGCATCAAGATTAGCAAGTCAATGCCATTGTCTTCTTTTGCCTTGATGTGGGCCACCCACAATGATGAGCAGCTACAGGGGAAGTGTCTCTCAACACAACTACCCAAACTGCCTCACTTCAAAGACCCTGGCCTCATTATTTCTGCACCCCCAGGCAAGGAAAGTACAAGGCCTTACCGCAGATGTTAGACGAGCAAGAATTTCATCGCTGCTTTCTTCAGAGTCTTCAATTTTTTGATGAGACCTTTGAAAAACAAAGAACAAATTACTCTTAGGTTTTGGTTCCTCAAATTTATCTACCAAGTTATGGGGAATACATGGCAAATAATGGCATTATTGTTGAACACATTAGTGAAAGAACCCATGCAAATAACGTAGTGTCAATAATGTCATGGGAACAGGACTCCGTTGCAGTCCAACCACTCCTTCGAAATCAATTAGCAAGACGCTCCTTACAATACACCAAGTAAATCCTGAGGATCCATTATTGTTCTCCAAATGATATCACAGAATAATCCTGACACACCAGATTTACTAAAATAGGCACGTACAAAGCATAAGTAGATTTAAATATAAGGTGGTTAAGTACTGAAATTCCCAGATCTTGAAAATATAAAACATGAATTTTCCACTCCATTTGAGTTTCAGCCAAAACAGATTTATTATGAAATGGTCTATTATAGGCCTAATACTGTGATAGGAATTATGTGGAATACAATAGAAGCAGCACTTCGCTCGTTTTGAAGAGACCACAGACCAGTTAAGAAGCCAAGACAATGACTCATATGTTATATAACTAAAGAGACACGTACATATTACATAGTATAAGATCTGTTTGTTTGTTAAGGAAAATCACCTTTCTAATGTTACTTATGAAAAATTCTCACCACAGAAATGCATAAGTAACATATAAAATTATCTACTTCTTAAGACAAATCTTATAAAACTACTTTTTTTTCCTGGTTTGGTCAAAGAAAAAAATTAACTAGAGGCAACTGACTATATATAATTGTCTCCCAGATCTATGTCCACAGCAATCCCCATCAGCACCTTCTGTGGCCTTGGAGGGATTGGTGGTAAGTGCCCCGCAGAGCAGTGTTATCAGAATGGCAGTTCAATGATTGATTTCAATCTCAGTAACTGCAGTGGGCCAGCCGGAGCGCCAGCCTTGCAGGGCAGGAGGAGGGCTTCTCCTGGCTCATCGGAGAGCTAAGAAGCAGCTCTTTCAGGAGGGAAAAGCTCCTCAGATCAATTCTGGTATTGGCACCACACCTTTTAAATCAGAGCAATGAATTACGAACTCCTGCCTTTAGGAGAATTGCATGACACAGGTATGAAGCAACGTCAGTGTTGTCAAATAACTCAATTACTTGTGCAGCAAACTGTTTGAAATGTTAGCAAATAATCTGCCCAATAAAAACAGTGGGAACTGAGGATTACAACTGACCATAGTCCCAAAGAAGCAAGTTACCTTGATAATGAGTATTTCAAACAATGAGCTTTATTACCACAATTATCTATTCACAAGGTTTCCATATACATGAAGTTACACCAAGAAGAGATTTGCAACCCTTTAGAGCCACCAAACCATGTTTATATAACAAAGCTGAGGTGACTGAACAGATCTGACAGGAAATTAAGAGCCAAACGCACTAGACCTGAGAGCACCAGACAACGGCTTCGATGCTCCGTCTGTCTGTATTGAAGTGCGGGCTGTCATGCCGTCTCAGGTTTCTCAGACTCCAGCAGACACCTGAAGGATTAGTTAATGGGCATGAGGTATTTTGCATTAGCAGAGACTCTGTCATGAATGTGTTTTCAACAAACTGTGAAAGGAACTCAAAATTCCAAGGGAAGCCCTTGTGCATGTGACTGATAACGACTATTTCATGAGTAACGGCTGAACTGTTGCTGGTTTAGTGACAAATAATCTAGTCCCTGTTCAGAAGCTAAACTATCTTCCATCATTCTTCCAGAACAAAACACGCCTTGGCAGAAATGTTTCTAAAGGAAATATGTGTAAGAGAGACAGAGCGAAGATCTCCCAAGGGCTGTCCCGAAGCCCATATCCCATTTTTATCACCTCAGTCACCACAATCTATGCCCAGAACTCCCAAGTCTTTCTCCAGCCCCTGAATCTCCCCTGAGCTCACCTTGTTTTTCCATCTGTCTTTAAAGTGGCTCTAAGAGGCAATTCCAGGAACTTTACTTTCACTCACGTGGGGATCTTACAGGCTCCTCGAAGTCAACATAACTTACTCCTTCTTGCCTCCTGGCCTCTTTCTACTGGCGCCTCTCACGACTCAGCTTCACAGTCTCCCTGTGACCATTCCCGCCCTCCTGCACTCCCAGTCTTTGCCAGTGACCAGATCCTCTCACTTCTCTTCCTCAAGCTCTGCTTTCCTTCAGTCCCTCCCCACAAGCCTCCATGACAGTCAAGGCCCTCGCCTTTGCAAATTATTTTAACTATCTTCTAATCAACTTCCTTGTCTCTGGCTTCTCCTCTTGCACCCAATCTCCTACCAGGATTACCCTTCTAAAACCCAGATGTGGTCCTGCTATTCTCCAGACTTCAAACTTTCAGGGATTATCCCACTGCCTACTGAAAGCACTAGAATTCAGAAATACTCTTCCTTTCCTGCTATGTGCCTCGTGTCCCCTGCACCAGCAGGCACCTCCATCTCACCTGACGTAAAGGAGGGTCTTGGGAGCAGGACAGGCAATAAGAGGCAAACAGGGGAAGAGCTTGAACAGGTGGAAGGAAGAGAGCAGGGTAACACGTCACCTCTCTTCTTCCTTCCTCACCACTGCAGCCCCTCCCCAGCTCGATGCCAAAACACCCAGAAATACCACTCTTTGCCCAGCAAATGTATTTTACAAAATGTAGTTTAATTCTGATTATTTTATGTATGTAAATACACATCAATGCAACCCAGTGAAGACCAAGTTCTCACTATCATATCAAAAGAGACAAAGAAACAGATGGGGCAAGGGAGAATAAAGAAAAGAATTAATTGTGATACTTGCATATTTTCCACTACTAACGGGGGCTGTGCTGCTCAGTGAACAAGAGAAGACAGAAGCTCTCAATGTGGTTCATCACTGGTTAGAGAAGGGACAGAGAAACCCTGGCTGGAATCAGGAGGTAATGGCAGTGACAAGTGACAGAGGACAGAAAAAGAGAAGAGAACAGGAGTGACCCCAGGAAGGAAGACCCATCCCTGAGGGTTTGTGCCAACAGGAAGCTCCAGCCCAATAGGCACTCGTCTTTACTAATTTCCATGGCTGCTTCTCATGATCTCCGCTTACCAAAAGCCTAGGCCTGACCCAGTCATTCTCCAAGGAAAAGTGCAGAGACCTAGTGCTGTGAGTAGATATCTTTATAAGTTCGAGAGGTCTGCAGTATCTAAGAGGGCCACTGCAAGGACAAGGAATGGCAAAAGCCTGTGATCCTCTGCCCTTGGCCCTCTAACCAGCAAACTGGACACATTATCATTTTACCCAGCCCCCACTGAAAAGAAACAAACAAGAAACCCTGTCCTCCCTACAGTCTTCCCCATATTAATTAATGGCAACTCCACCCTTCCAGCAGGAAGTCATCCTTGCATCCCACCCCCTCAACACACACCCACCCACACTCCATGTTGTAACCATCCTGAAACCCTACTGGCTCTGCCTTCAAGGTATACTCCTATTTGACCACCTCTCACTACTCTACTACCACCACCCTGGTCCCAGCCACAAAATCTCTTATCTGGACCCAGGAGCCAGAGTGGTCTTATCAACATATAAATTAGATTATGTCCCTCCTCTGCTCAAATTCCTCAAATGACTCCCCATCTCCCTCAGTATAAAGCCAAAGTCTCTACAGTGGCTGACATCTCTCGCTCTCTCACTTGGCTCCAGCCACGCTTACTTTGCCTTTAATGCTTCTCCCTCAGGCCTTTGCACTGGCTGTCCTTCCTCTCAGCCTAGAGCACTCCCCCCAGATACCCACATTGCTTTTGCCTCACATCCATCAAGTCTCTCTGTTAACTTCTTGGAGAGGCCTTTCTTGACCCATAACCACATCCCTCGTTTCCTACTTCATTTATCTTCATAAAGTTTTCTACCTTTAACCAACATAAATCTGCTCGTTTATGAAATTGTCTCCCCTCCCCTACTAGACTGGAGGCTCCATGGGAGTAGAGATTTCTGTCTGTTCTTGTTCATGGTGACATTCCCAACACTTACAACACAACCTAGTGCATAAGAGGCATTCAATAAATATTTGTTGAATAAATTAACTGAGTACCTTAAACTTCAAAAGATGCTCTGCTGTGAACCACCATCCCAGAACTCCCACTGCACAGGATACTAGCTTGATACCTGTAGTCAAATCAACTGAGGGACCCCGCTTAAACTCAAGACCTATTCCCTTTAGCTATTCCATCATTCTCCCAGCTCCCTGCAGCAGGTCTTCCTTTCAGTGACCTTCTTGTCACTAAATCCAACAAGAATGACTTTCTTATATCTCATACCAAAGAGCTGGTAACATTGAAAATATCTTAAATAAAATAACAGCAACACTAACACCCTCAGCTCCTCATCTTCCCCTAAGAAATAATTCATACAGACATGGTGACAGTTTCCAATCTAGGCAATTGTATGACAATCATTTACACAATTCATGATGCAACAGAAAAGAAAAGCAGCAGGAAGTTCCCCACAGAGAACGTCTCAGCCCAACATGGTTGAGTTCCAATAGAGAGCATTAGGAGGCAGCACATGGGAGCTGTGATCGGGGCAATGTAATTCACTTTATACTAGTCAGGCCCAGTATAATCTCTAGCAACTTGGATTTAACTGGAAGCCCTGTAGAGGTTCCCAGAATCTCTCAGTTAGCATTCCTTCATAAGAATTAGTATAATGGGTTTGAGATTATTCCAATCAGGTTTTTTAAAATAAAGCTATATGAGAGGTAGAGACCACACTCCTTAATCAGGTTTTGACCAAAACATTTGTGTCTCAAGATCCAAGAGCAACCAATACCATCTTAGAGTTGGAAAAATCCTACCTCCTTTTCAAAAGTAGAAGTTTCCTGGCATTCTATGGTGGAAGGCTGGAAGCATTTTCTTACAGAAATATTATCCAAATAATACCACTTAACTTGTATATTGATATAACTTTAAAAATGTATTAGTTCTGTTTTTCTATCTGTGTCTTAATGTTGAGTAGCATAAGTGGGCTGCCAAGAGCTACCAC